GCTGTGACCAGGTACCAAAACGTCACCAGTGGCTCCTCTGGGCGCTGGGGGGGGGTCGGCCCTGCCCGCAGGGTGCCGGGGTGCCGATGCTCACCCCCGGGACGGGGCAGGACCAGCACCTGCGGGGCGCGGGCTGCACTAATCCCCACGCAGGGGTTCTGTGATACTGATTTCAGGCTCTGCTGGCGCTTTACGGGGTGAACTGCAGTTGAAGCACTGGAATTTTCCCTCGAAGGAGGATGTGTCGCTTATTTTAGTTTCACTTCTGCTGACAGCTTACAAGAGGGTGGCAGCGAGGGACGGGAGGGGGATGATTGTTAGAGCCTCGCAGCGCCGTCACGGCCGGTCCCGCAATAGCCAGCTGATGGCTCTGTTTAAAGAGGAGTTATTCTGAGTTATCTGAGAGATTTCACAGCACAAATCCAAACAGCTTCAAGTAATAGTTCAGTCCCTGGGGTGCCTCCAAGAGCCTTTCCTTCATTTCTGGCCAGTTTGCCCTGAGGGGCGCTGGGGCCGCAGGTGATGCTCGGGCACGAGGAGCTGCGTTCCCCTCGGCTCTTTTCGGTTCATTTTCAGGAGGATTTTGTTTGGTGTTAGGGCTTCTCTGCTGACCTGCCCCTCTCAGGGCAGCACTGGGGGAAGCGGGGAGTTCCCTGGGAGCTGCTCTTTGGGGAAGGGTGGGGTTTGGTCAGTGGGCTCCTCGCAGCCGGCCGAAACACGGTGTCAGACATCGCCCTCTCCCCTGAGACCTGCGGCCACCCCGGTGCTGGGGACCGCAACTGGGGGAGAGACGTCAGGAAATCAAAAAACACAAGGTGACGGGAGGCGCAGTGGGGAAGGACTCCCGGAGAGCGGTTCTTTTCCCAGCCAGGCACCCGACGTGACCCAGTTGCCGTTTGACAGGGATTCTGATGCCCAAGGGCAGAACCTCGCTTTGTGTGCAGCGTGTGCCCAAGGCCGCTGTACGGAAGGCGAAGACTCAGCATCGTCCTTTGCCACGGGAGAATGCAAAGGGTCTCCTGCTTCTCCCCACATCCACAGAGATCTCTGCCCCCCACTTTCTCGCAACGTTTACCTTTGTGAGCTGTTTGCTTCCTCTCCCCCCCCCCCAAACCCCCCGGGGCTCCCGGGCTCATCCAGCCCGCTGAGGCCAGGCAGGCTTTGCAAAGCCGCCCGGCTCAGAGCTGCTGCTTCAGGAGAAGGAGAGAGGAGTAAGCAAAAACTAACACCCCAAACCCTGATTTTTCCTGTCCCAAAGCACGCCTGGAAAGGCTCTTTCCCTCTTTGCAGTTTCACAGGGACACATCTTTCCTATGGTGACATCATTTATATTTTCAGCCTTCAAGTGCATACTCATGAAAAGGCAAAAAAAAAAAAAAGTTCCTCAGCATCCAGGAAACCTTTTTTCCTGCCGTCAGGCTCAGCCCTGTCCCTCTGTCACAGACCCAGGCCTGCCCTGCTTCTGCTCCCCATCCAAAGCTGTCCCCCAATCCCCGCTTCTTATCAGAGCCTTTGGTGCGATCTCCAGAAATGATTGAAATAGCACAAAACCCGTGATTCCAGAGCTCTCTGGAGCACTAAATCACAGCCAGCCTGGAATAGCACTTGGTAATAAAATACAGAGCACAGAAATATCCCCCGGCAGGGCCGCCTGCGAGGGGCTGAGGTACCCACGGAAAAGCAAACCTGTGTTTCTACTCAAAACAAGGAAACGTTATTTCCCTGGAAGCAGGCGCAGGCTTGATTACACATCAGCTTTTTTCCACTGGCTGGGGAGGCTTTAGCTCAGCAGTTCTGGGGACGTTTTGGGAGCCTTGCTTGGGCCCCGTGTCCCCTTTGCAGGGCATCTGCACCCGGGGGCATCTGCCCCAGGGACCCGGGATGCCAGTCTCATCCTCCTTCTCCTTCTCCTTCTCCTTCTCCTTCTCCTTCTCCTTCTCCTTCTCCTCCTTTCTTCTCCTTCTCCTTCTCCTTCTCCTTCTCCTTCTCCTCCTCCTCCTTTTCTTCTTCCCTTCTTTTTTAGGATCCTTTTTTCAGCAGCATTTCAACATTGCCACTTGCTCTGGGGCCAGGCGTGCAGGTACGCACGAGCATCCTCCAGCATCCTTCTTGGACGGTTTTTGAGTTTTGTATTAATAGCTGTTTATATTTAAAGGCCAAGCGAGCCATCATCTAACGTCACCTCTCTCAGGCTGGAGGGCACGCTCTAAAAGAAGCACCCGGGTGGTTTTTTATGTTGCCGCAGTGACACCCCACAGACCTGCTTGACGAAACACAAACCCAGCCCGGTGACCCCGCACCGGGACGGGCTGCAGGGTCCTGGGGGGTGCTCGGCCTCAGCATCCCCCAAACAACACCCGTGGCAGCGCCCTGGCAGAGCCACATCCCTGCGGGGCGGGAGGGGACCAGGGCGATTTCCCCACCCGTGTCGGGGGGACCCTGGTGACAACGGCACGTGGCAGGAGGCACCGGCTGTGGCTGCGGCCTCTCTGTGCTCAGGGTAGAAGATTCTCGCAGCTGGGACGCTGCTCACTTGTTTTTCTCTTTAAGAAATCCCACCTCGCCCAGTGTTCTGACTCCCCTAAGCCCAGGCAAAGCTCGCAGTGGGGCCGTGGCTGCGACAGGGCCTGTCCCAGGCGGCCGTGTCCCCCCCCAGCCCGCTGGGAGCAGAGGGATCCCTCACATCATCACCAGCTCAATGCAGAATCCATCGAAGTCAGGTCTGTCTGTAGCTGAGGAAAGTCACCTGGGCAAAAACAGAGAAATCCCAGTGCTGAGGGGACATGTTCTGCTTAGCAAGTGCGTGGTATTTTAATTATTCTAACGAACCAGAAACCTCAAAGCAATTATAGTTTGTGCATTTGGGCTAATTCAAATTTTTAGCTTTTGGGAAATAAAGTTTAAAAGCAGTGGGTTTTTTTTAAGAAATAGCCGTTTAAAGTGCTATTCTCTGGGTGAGGAGCTGATGATTTGAAGACAAGCACAGCAAAGCAGCTTGTAATTTAGCACGACTGTCTGACGGCTCACGAGGTAGCACCCAGCTATTACTTATTAGAAACCCTCCCTTCTGTTAATGAAGCTCATTCTTGCTTCTAAACCTCAGACAATAGGGTCTAGAGAAATCACACCTGTGCTCTAAAACCCACTGACGCACTCAGGAAGGGGAAAAAAAAAAAAAACCAAACAGCAGCCGGGCACCCTGGAAACCTGCCGCGGGGCTCAGATTATACGGGGAAGGCCGGGAAGGTTGGTCTGGGCCTGGGAGCGCCGGCGGAGCTTAAATCCACCCATTTCCACAGCGGGATTGCTGCATCTCCCCCAGAGCCCCCACAGCTCCCCGGCTCAGCAAGAGCTTCGCATCCCGCCGGCTGCTCCCCCTTTGGTTACCGGAGACAATTAGATAATTAAATACCCACAAAGTGATCAGAGCTTTCGTTAACAACCACCTGTGGGTCGGGGATAGAGAAGAAGCGTCGCAAAAGGGGATGAGCACCGGGAGGGCTGAAAGGTGAAACAGAGCGAGGGCAGACCCCCCCCTTCCCCCTGTGAGCGTCTCTGGGGCCCGGGGGGTTCAGTGCCCACCCTGCCCCCTTTGCTCTGCTCTGTTTTAATCCCAGTTTTAATTTCTGATGACATCCCTCTTGGGGCATGGGGAGGTGTCCTGGTGCTGGTGTGTCCAGTCTGTGGCGGGTGGCACGGTCACCACCAAAACCTCCAACTTCACACCGAGAATGTCCAACTTCACACCGAAAATGTCCAACTTCACACCCAAAATGTCCAACTTCACACCCAAAATGTCCAACTTCACACCCAAAATGTCCAACTTCACAGCTTTCACAGCCTTTCCACATCCAGCCCGTGTGGGCTCATCAGACCAGCGAGCCCCCACCACTCCCCAGCCCCGCTGAGAAGGCCAGGCAGGCTTTGAGGAGCCACCCCCACCTAGAGCTGGTGCTTCAGGAGAAGGAGAGAGAAATAAGAAAAAAATAACACCCCCAAAATCTGATTTTTCTTGTCCCAAAGCACTCCTGGAAAGGCTCTTCCCTCTCGGCACCCACCGCCCCAGCGCACCTGTGCCTTGCTCCAGCTGCAGCAGGCTCAGTGTTACAACAGAAGCAAGCTCTCCTGTTAAAAGCAAAAAATCAGCTTCATGCAAAACTGATTCGAAGTGGGGGTTTGAAAGAAAACCGCTGGAGCCGCACCTAAACATTTCTGGTCCATGGGACACCACCATCAACCTCCCCGGCTGGTTTCTGCTCTCCAGGCGCCCGGCAAAGAGGGGTTTTTCAAGCCAGCACTGAGAAAAGCCGCCGCTGTGGCTCGCTGGGCCACGGCACGAGG